TTTTTTTCTCGCGTCACATCAAACTGCATCAGTTCAGCTCGGCATTTTCCGTTCAGGATCCGTTTCAAGAGTTAAGAATACGTCGGATACCAAGGAAAAATTAACTGGAGAACGGACGAACATGGCCGAGAAATGATTTTCCATCAATTTCATGTTAGACAGGCTGGCTGATATCACGAAATAGTTTTACACGATCCTCGAAAGCGATCGATCTTTGCTGAAATTGCTTGGCAAAAGGGAGGATCGGTGACTTGGGATTGTCTTAGCCTTCGATCAACCTCTCGGCCAGCAACGCATTACTCTTCCTACCCTTGTTCGCCTTCTTTCCTCGCGTCTCGCCACTTTCCGAACTATCAACTACGGAAATACATATATCTTCCAGTATTGTTCCCGTCCCGGTGCGAACATCTTCGACAGAAGGTACAACTGACCTATTCACTGACCATGCACATAAATCCACTAGGGCGAACCCATCGCGGAATCTGCATCACGTGAGGCAAATTCACCTTCGCGGTATTATTGCAGCTTAATACACGCGACAGAAGGCATTCATTTGCAAGCATAAATATTGGAAAACTTACGAAGGTACGTTACTGGACTGTAGCCTAATCGTGTACAGTAACAATTGAAAAGTGAATTATTTCACGTGATTTTCGTGCATCTGTGTTATATTAAATTTTATTATATTATATTTACTTTAATATTTACTTTATTATTTGTTTTACTATTTTACTTTATTTATTTTATTATTTATTGTGTTATATTAAAAAGTGTCAACTCTTCTACTTTTTTTTACTCCGTCACCAACACCACCGAGGTTTGCTACAAAAGAAATACGCGATAGCACATCAAATCCATTTTGCAACACATCAAAAATAAAACAAGTCAACGTCGTCTGACTTTTCGTACATATTCCATCCTATGCGAGTTCAAGTGTACTGAATGAGAAAGCTGGTCACATTTTTCACTATTTAATTGCGATCTATAAATACTTGTTACAATATTAATATCCGTGCACGTGATTATCTGTCAATATTAATATAATCCTTGGAAAACAAAATTGGAACGTCCGGATCCTTTGAGCGACAGTGTACATACTTCAGATTTAACGTCAACAAGCAGCCCACTGAGGTCTCGTCCGATTTTATTAGCCAGCCGGCCATTTGACTGCCGGTCGATCCACATTTCGCACCCATCGAACGCAGACTTCCGTGTGGTTGACACACGATACCCGCCACTACACTCGCTATAACGTCTAGAGAACTCGGTAGAGCGAAGAGGACGTATAATCCAGCCTGGTTACACGACCACCGCGATTGAAGTTTGATAATTCAGAGTGACTCATCGCCTAACGAAAAATTACACCTTTCGCAGAATTCCTTCTCAGAACGACGAAAGCAAGATTCGGGACGTTAATCGGAAAGTGCTTTGAAGTATTTTGTTCTCTTTTTTTTAATTTAATTTACGATTTCAAAATCATACGCTGTTAACTGTTTGCGCTGGTTAACTGATTGCGGACCATAACGTACACAATAATCCGTTGCTTCCTCTTTGAAGACTTTATATCGTCGGCTACGATGTCACTGGATAGAAATTATTGAGAAGTAATAGATTTATTTTTTGTTTTGCCTGGGTTATACTCTTAGGACTGAGGAAATATTGCAACTTTGGGACGAGAAAGGTTATAAAGAGCGTGAAAGAAAGTGTCCAAAATTTAAAACTGACATCGCGAATATTTCACGAAAAGTTTAATCGATTATTTCTTTTAAACGTTTAACGCAGAATCACGTTGGAATATTTAGAATATTAAAAATCTCGCCAAATCTTAACCCGTTCCTGTTAGAGCAGATTAGGTTGGACGAAAATAACAATTCAAAAGGCATTGCAAATCATGGCTAAGATGGTTGCGTAACGAAAGCAGAGGTGAAAGACCATTGATTGGCAGGGGATAAGCGCGTTGCCATGTGTTTTTATTAATTGGGCAAAAACGAAAACGAAAATTGCAACGTATTCTCGCGGTACGACACGTTTCAATCGGAAATACTTTCCTTTAGCCGGCATTAGACCTTGTATTTTATGCGTAGTGCTATGATTTACGTCACATTACGAATTAAGCGACGGCAATAAGTGACCGTGAAAGATCAGTTTCTTGAGTGGACAGAGACTGATGTGATTAAGCAATTTCATGTTTTTGTCCCAAATCCTGGAAACTATGGAATTAAAATCTCCGTTTCTTTTCTTTTTCCTTTTTTTTTGTTTTGTTCCTACTCACCATCGAAACTGTGACATATCGATTAGCAATGGCATTTAATTTCTAAGTCACGCACTAATGTCGAAAGCTTACACCTCTGTATCTTGCAACTGGAAGAAGGTAATTAGATTAAACAGATTGAAAAGCAGATTTTTACTTGCTGATTTGTAACTTCGTTGTGCTTAAAGTCGTAAGTAGACTGGAGCATATTCTGAATCGTGCACAAGTTCCATAATTTCAAAAATTTTTAAACTCGCGTTCTCCGAAATTTAAAAAGTACATACAAATAGTAATCAGTCGTGAGATTCTGACACTTTTATTTTTAATTTGGTTCTCCTCGTTATATATTTTTTTTTCTTACCGTGTAAATGCTTTAATTAACTTCTTACTTTAATGTGATTAATGATAAGTCATAATTAACTAATGATTAATAATTGACTTGTGTAATTCTGTCAGTCATGAGATTAGATTATATTATATTATAAATTTGTTTTGCCTTGGTGTGTAAATCCGAAAGGAGATGGTTTGTGCAAATGATACAAAGTAAATTTGTTGTGCATAATTCCATCGACAGGACTTAAATTTCATTTCGATTCACTGTGAACCAGTTGCAAGTATACTAATATAACTGTATACTAGTATACTATAACAATAGATAAGAGCTATCGTTATAGCACTCTATTTGTTAATATCGGTATTTATTTAATTTTGATATTTTCGTGCCATCAAATACACAACAAGGAATTGAGAAATATTTTTAAGAATTTTTCAAAAACCGACACCAGAAATTTTTTATCACGTTTTCTAAATCTAAATTCATATAATCAACAGCCTATATTAATACGCGTTTGTAGTGTTAAACTTCCTAAAAAAAAAAGAAAGAACTCCAAGTTCTTAAATTTATGCTTTCATCATTAATATTCATTTACGAACGTGCATCTTTTGTTTTCTCTAACATATAGAGCACTTTTCCGAGCACTCTGCGTGATGTCAACTTTCTACAGAAAAAAAAAAAAAAAAAAAAAACTCCGAGTTCTTAAATTCATGCTTTCGCCATTAATATTTATCCGCGAGCGTGCATCCTTTGTTTTTCTCTGGCACGTAGATATACTTTTTCAAGTGTTCTGCATAACATGAAATTCAGAAACGAAGCGTCGCCATTCCATCCAAACGTGAAAATACTGTACGAGCACGAGTCAAACGTTATTGTTCACGATATAATCACTGAAATATCTCGCGGGATAAACGCGTATCCGTCAGATTTCGCATGCTGGCGTCAGTTATTCAAAATTATTCCGAGTAAACATCCTTCCACGGAGACACGACAAGCGTTAATCATTGGATCGGTGCTCTAAATACCAGGATAATTCTCGAAGATACCACGTCTCACGCCTATGAGATTACTACGTAAAGAGGTCGAGGAAGACCTTGATTGTATTTTTTCTTTTTTTCTTTTTTTTTTTTTTTTTCCTTACGAAAGTTTGCATTTCAAGCGCGCGCCTTCGCGCGTTTTCACACACGCATATCCACTTATTAATCGGCACTTACCCCGAGCCGGACCCGTGTGGGTAACCCACACTTTCGCATCGTTTCACGCAGCCGATCGAACTGTTTCCACATAAAGTGTCTTAACCCAATTCCCCGGAACCGATCGCGAGGGGTTGAAAGCGCGCGATTGGCCGGATTTGCTTCGTTTCGAGCCGATATCGGGCATAGATTGGCTAAACGGCACCCCACTCTATTCTTGGATCGGCTGACTCAACAAGCCGATGTATAACGTCAGACGATCGAACGGCGGGCCACGTGATCAAATTTACAATGATTTTTTAAAATCGACTTTTGTATAAAAGGACCGCCGGCCGGCACATCTAGCATAAGCTTACCTGCTTTCAAGAAGTAAACGAGCAACTCACAACCCAATCAACATGTTCAAGTTGGTAAGAACAATATTATATTTTCATACTATATTTGCTTCCGTTACTGTACTCGGCTCGGGTAAGACCCCGGATTCGAAATCGAGCGAACGAAACGAGCGATTTCACTTGGGACAGACGAATGTACTATGTACACGTATTATAATGGTTCGGCGGTGTACATAATGACGATGTACACAAAGATCCAAAAATCATAGTGGTATAAGTCTTCTACTTCTCGTTTTCATAAAATTATGTTTTACCATTATTATTGCTTTCTTAGGTTCTAAAATGAAGTATTGCTATTTCTCAGTTGTGAATAATTGTTAGAACAATATATATTAAAACATATACGTGTGTATGTTTTATATATATATATATATATATATATATATATATATATATGTAATCATAGTACATATGACATTATGTAACAATATTGTGTTGTTACAATAGTTAGAACAATAATTGGCAATAATTATATATATATATATTGTATTGTAACAATATTGTGTTGTTACAACAGTTAGAACAATAATTGACCATGCAGAACCTTCGAAAATGTTGTTAACTCGAATTACGAAAATTTGGGCTTGCGCCACTATGATTCTCAGCCCTTCGTACATACACGCTTCGAGAAAATGCTAGAAGCTCGAAGAGACAGTACAAAAGACGTCGGTGCTTTCAAGTGAGAGTAGAATATTAAGTTTATGAGATACGATTTTTATATATTAGTTTAGACAACTGTCTCTAATCTAGAGACTCTAATCTAGAGAACCCTCGTTTCCACGATCACTAACTTAGTATCTCCACTTATAAATTTTTATACTTGGTACATCTGAGAGACAAGGGATACTGATCAGTAAACGTTTAGACTTTCTACCTTCATCAACACTAGAACCACCTAGAAACGATCAAAGTGATTTGTAATTTCCCATAGAAATTCCGTAATATTTGCAGCAGTGTAGTTTTAGAAACTTTGTTAGTGAAATCCTATGTTCTTCATTGTGTTATAAAAATTCTTTCCTTGCTCCTTGCACTTTCATTTCTCTGCTGCAAAGTTTACACTTTGGCCAGTGGTAGTTCCAGCGTTGAACTGAAGCACATCCTCATCTGGTAACTCGTAAACAGGACTACGACTGCGTACATAAACTATAAACGTAGTTTTCTGAAAATTGTACAGCACGGTATTCATCGTTCAACTAAGTTTCTCTACTCGAAAATTCTCTTCCGAGCGTGAAACGGGATCTGTCGTGGGTGAATCAGCCTTCTTGTCTAATTTGCATATTCAGCACGCGTTCGCGCGGCCGAATCATCCGATCGGATCGTTCCGATCGGGACAGAACGCCGGCGAGGAAAATTCCTCCGTTCACTTCGCTCTTCTTTCATCGGTTCCCGCGGCGAGCGCGAGAAGTATCGCGCCGTGACCTTTCCACGCGCATACATCGGCGTGGTCGCATGCACGTTCACTCGAACGGACACACCACTGTTTCCGTCCGGTCCGCAAAAATCTCTCTCCGCCAGCGAGCGAAACCACTGAACCATGCATACTGTTGGCCAACTCTGTTCGAACGCAGCCGGACAATATGGAATGCGGCCTACGCCACGGACACTCGCGCTCGCTTTTTCCCCTCCTTTCGACTCGCTGCCGATCTCGCGTGTTCGCCCGATCGCGTGCTACACGTCTATGACACTTGCTTTACGCCATTTCATCCTGAACTCGTTTGTCTTCTTGCTCGATGCACGGCACAATTGGCGAGATACGGGTTCAAAGAGTGGCATCGATATTTGATAGATTTTCGACTGAGTTTCTTTGAACACTTCAGATCGAGATTAATAGTACTTTCAGTTCTTTTTTTTTTTTTTTTTCTTTTTTAAGCTATAAACAATACTGTTGGTTTAAGTTAGGTTTGGTACTTTTAGTTTTCTTTTTTTTTTAAATTTTTTAACGATAGCTGCTGGTTTTGAAAAAATTTCGAGAAATCGTAAAGGAATATAGACAGAAGTATAGAAACGAATTATTTCAGAACATTTAATTTAAAAAACCGATTTTTATATTGGTTTCACAATATTAATATATCTTGTAATATGTACTTGCAAAGAAGTGGAATGAGACCGTAGCAGTTGATCATAAATATTTGTTCGATCCGTGAAACAATGTTAATCGAATACAAATTTATTTCAAATCCACGATTAATGTATATCCGTTAGGTACATATCATACCTAGTATTAAAGTTTCAGAAAAAGATTCATAGATCAGTTCATTGTTCAATCTTCGAAAGATTCTCGAAAAGTGGATCTCCACTGGCACTCGAGAAACCGTAACTCACTCGAAAACAATTCGACCCCTTCCACCCCTCCCACCTTCACCCTTCCGGTATCGTGTCACCAAGGAGAATCATCCTTCCTTTTAATATCCTCCGCTTCGACGATTCCAAGGACCCCTCGTAAACAAATACGGGTCTCGATTACGGCTTAACGCGATCAAAGCGCCCGTCTCCGTTTCCACGTAATCGCCGGCGGATTAACACCAGCTTCCCCCGTGGGAAAATCTCGCGAGAGACGGTTCGAAGCGGAGGCTACTGTTTCGAACCGACATTGTCTCTCGAATTAGACAGACGGCTGCACTCTGCTACGACGATTAGCTACGAAAGAAGATAAGAAACGACAGAAGGGGGGCCGTAGCTCGAGGAAAGGTCTGAGGAGGGGTGGTTTGAGGGTCGACGAAAGAAAGAGCTAAAGGAATCGCACGTGCTGTTTTTCCCACAGGCTGTTCTCGTCGCCATCCTGGCTGTCGCTACCGCTGCCCCTGGAGGTCTCACCGGCATCGTCGCTGACCACGGACTCGCCCCGATCCACGCTCCCGTGGTCGTCGCGCACGCTCCAGCTCCCGTGGCCATCGCGCACGCTGCTCCAGTTGCCCATGTGATTGCCCAGCCTGTTGCCCCCATCGTCCGCACCGCTCCCATCGTCACCAAGTCTGTGGTGGCTCATGCTCCCCTGCCCCTTCTCGCTGCCCATAGCTTGCATTAAATGACAAACTGACAACCCTATCTTACCACCACCAAATCACGACGAGACAATCCCACCCACCCCTCTCACCGTCCACCCACACCCGTCCACCCCCTGGAAAACACGTACACTCAATCCCTCTAATTTCTCGTTAAAATCGTCCGCCACCCGAGAGAAAAACGAACAAGGAAAATCGAAGAACGAGAGCACGAAGGGAAGGACAGATCAGAGAAAAGAAAACTCGAGGATGGAACGAGAAAATCAAATCTCCTGGCCATCTCACCATCGAGACGACGTCCGCCCACCAGGTTCGGCCGGACTCTTCCCTTTCGGCGACCATCCGCGATTCTGAGATCATCGACGTAATTCGGACCACCGCATCTCAATCATTGCACCATCATCCAGGATCCCTTCCCCCTTTGGTCATATGGAATTTTAATAAAATTTTATTTAAAAAAAAAGAACACGAAACAAACAAACGAAACGGACAACACGATTCGTACCTTTCACCCCAGCCTCGCGCCATCCTACGTTCTCGCCCGTCTCGCGCGCGATTTTCCAATTTCTCTTGGACCAAGAGGAAAGAGTCGTCGAGACTAAGGGGTCGCAGTCGGTGACAATTTGTCAACGATCGCGAGCGTTTACCTCCTTCTCTCCGGCGAACATACATCCCCGGAGAGAAGACACGTGTAAGGATGTTCACGTTCACAATCGCAGACGAACGCCGTCGTAACGTGCAGACGACCGCGTAAACTTCAGCAGCTCGATCGTACCACGGCTTTCGCAAACGTTCCTGCATGAATCTTCCGACCGTTTTACGACCATCGTAAACTCCCCCTTGGTTTCTCCTTTTGAATTTTCCACCCTTCGTCTTACTAGAGTCTGGTAAACACTATCGAGCTTCGTGCCGTCCTCCTCCCATCGTTTTCGTCGTTCGCGATACGCTCGAAACTCGAGTCGTACGGTGATTGTCGACCGTATCGCGGATTTTACAGCCGATGCAAGTCGAGTTTCGACGTCGAAATTAGCCGGCTAAGGGGATCACGTGCAATTGGTCACAAGTTGTTACAGCTATCTCATATTTTACTTTAGAGTACAGTGGTTTATTTCAAATTGCATATAAAAATCGCATTCGTCGCGCGATCGACGCCCTTGTTTTAGTTTGTTTCGAGATTATTAAGAACGGTTCCATAGCTGGAGAGGCTGGGCTCGTTTCATTATCAGTAGAAGTAGTATCCTGGGTGGTACCATTTGTAGCTATGAGCGTAAGACAATGGCAAAGTTGCAGTATGGAGAGGCAACACCTTCACGTAGGGGTGCGAGTAGACCAGCGGGGATGAGATCACTGGTGGCACTGGAGCCGGCGCTGCGTAAACTGCCAAAATGGCCACGGCCAACAAAAGGATCTGTATGGATAAGAGAAACGTGTTATTTTCCTTTCTCTGCTCTCTGCCGTCTAGAGAGTAACATTCCTCTCTTGTAATAATAGTCCTTCTCTATTATTACTTATCTCTATCAGTAGTCGGAAACGTTATTCGTAACATTTCGATTTCATTGATAATTTGTGACACTTTCATTTCACATAGAGACATTTACGAGACACATTTACGTTGAGATCGCTATTAAAAGTTAAATTGCACTGATTACGATGAAAATGGGATTTTCTGAAATCAATTGAATGTAACTGCAAAATTATGGCCAAACTATTTCTTTATTGAAGAGTATTGCCGATGGGGTTGGCAAAATGATCGAATTTTGGTTAAATGAATATACAACATTCTTTTTCAAGTAAGTGGAATGAATGTCACGAGTGACGTAAGTTATGAACTTTTTTATGTAAAATTCACACGTTTAATTTTATTTTTAATTGTGCTAAATTTAATTAAACTTAATTGTATTATGTTTACGAAGGTAACGATGCTCACTTATGCTTCTTTGCATCTATCCGCCAGAGATTTATTTACATCTGCTAATACAGGAAGAAATTTAAAAAAAAAAAGAATTTTAAAGAAAAATTCTATCCGAAAGTTTAAACGAAATAAATCTAATAAAGGAAATTCTAAATTTTATGAAATAAATGTTCATTATTTGAATTATTACAGGAGTATATGGAAATAAATTATTCTATGTATAAATTAATGTTCGAATATACTTATAGCTTTGCAAATATGTGTCACTCAATAATTTATGTACTCGTGCGACTTGAGCTGCGTTTACATAGGCAACTTTTGATTGTGAATCAATTTTAAATTATTCAAATCACTCGTGTAAATTGAAACGAGTTTCAAGCAGAAATAATTCCATTCCTATATCTGACTGAAGGATCTACGATCCATTTAAAACTGACAGTTTTCAAATATCGCACGTATATATGTCGATTATTAATAATGATCAAGTTACAAAATTTATAGAAGTAATTGCACTAAAATGGACTGTTATTTACATCCTTAATGTTCGCCATGCAACTAAGTAAAGAAACTCTGATTTACTCGAGTAAGTGAACTGTATTTAACGTGGAATATATACATAAAACTGTCAATCTCGTCTGTAAAAGCAAAGTAAGATGGCGGTAATTAACTAATTTATCAACTACAGTACAACGAAATGGATTTTTAAACGAGTTAGTCTCTCGAAAGGAAAAATAGATAATATTGTTACTATCGACGACCAGGTATTAAATTTATCATTGCAGCGAGATTGCAAGTGATAGATATAAATGCGTATTGCTGGTAATAATGTGCATTGGCCGAGCTCGTGTCTGATCCTAGACGATCCACTTTCACTTGCTTCCTCGTATCTTCTTCCTCATCACTTGTCTCAACAAATACTTAACCACAGACTGGTTTTCAACAAGTCTGTGGTTAATAATAAGTTTTCACACGAAATTTCGAATGCTATATTGAATAAAAATTATTTAAATTGACAGCAAATTTAAGGACAATTGTAACTATCGACTTATTTCGCCATTTCTCGCATTAAGAAGGAGTTTAAACTATTCCAATAGAAAAATTATTGTCTGTAATTTATTATTTTTATATTATGATTACAAGTGTATATTGGAAGTTAGTGTAATTATCAAGATCGACGTCAAAAGTAATTAAATAATTTTAACGAGATACAGTATTTGAGTTGAATCACTATTTTACTGTTTTACTACATTACATTGTTATAAGACTTTATCATTCGTCAGAAAATATCAAAATCGATTATCGATCCTGATTGTCTGTACTCTAATTAATTTCGGAATATCATTTTAATTCCTATTCTGTATTTTATCCGATAAATATATTTTCCAAAATTAACTCTAAACCTATCAAAGTCGACGGAGCATTTAATTCACAATTTTTCTTATAGAAATTTCATAGATTCACAACGATATATATTTTTTTCTTTTTTTGGATTTGAACGACTCCTCGTAAAATAAATGAATGAAAAGTTATACTCTTTATCGTACCATGCATTTAATTTGTCTAACGCAAGTTTTATATTTAGTTCTAGTCGATACTCCAAAAAGTACCCTATCTTGTTAAATATCGAACTTCTACTTGACACAGTTGTACAATTGAGAGTTAGTCGTGCAAAGAGCTTAAAAAAATTTTGTTTCGAGCCACCATCTCCGCCATATTTTAACAAAAATCCCACAATTAAGTAACGAGTATCCTTCACCGTGACAAACATTCAAACCGTCCCTTGCCACCTCACCCCCACCCGTACGTGTAGTAAATAAGAGCATATAGGATATAGTATGATGGATATACTTGCCAGCTTGAACATGTTAAACGTTTTATCGGCTTTTCCGTTGGCAAACACGAAGGGTACGCGAATCGATACTACTGTTAGCTCTACGGAAATCGAACTCTTTATATACACGTGCCGAAAGCTGTGTCATCTTCATTGTTCGATCCCACTCTGCACTCCCGCGCGCCTCCTCTGTAGCCTTGATCGTTCCCCGTTAATCCGTATCCGCGAATCGAGCGATTTTTCTCGTCTTACCCTTCTTCGCGGAGATCCGGAGATTAGCCGGTTAGCCGGTTTCTCTGCGTTAGAAATATGCAAGACAGGGGGGGGAGGGGGGTGGAGGAGGGAGAGCAGAGGGAGAGCCGGAAGTAACCGAGCCGATGGGAACGCCACCAACGTAGATCGGTATCGGCTGGACGCTGATTTATAGAAGGACTCCTCGACGCCGACAACGACGAACGGTCGCGTTCGTTTAATCGAAGGACGCGTGATATCCGCGCGGCGCGAACCTTTTCTGATTAAAATCGAACGGAAGGTCCTTCGTATCTCGGAGTCTCTTCGCCCAAAGTGACGGCGCAAGCCCATATCCGCTAATGGACGTTTCTAGATCGTTGTTCGGAACGTGCTCTCGAGTTGAACAGAGGCGTGCAAGGATGAGCGAGCACCGTTCAATTAACGGGGACAAGGAAAAAACGTCTTCGCCGAGACTTCTTTGATCACTCTGCCGCTTCCTTTGCTGTGAAAAGACTCCCTTTGCACCCCGAACTGGGTGCACCCCGGACTGGTCCGTAGTTTGCCGACTTTGGGCGCGCTGCTCCTGTAACGAGCGCTCCGCGAGGATGGTGTAGATTTGTATAGGGGAGAGAAGCTTCTGTGGATATGCTCGCGTGAAATTTTGAGAGCGCGCTGGACTTTTGCGACGAGGTGAATAACTATTTGTACACTCGCCAGGCGGGAAATTCGGCGACCTTAGACAATGGAAAATGAACATTTTATCGAACTGTCGTTTATTGTGCAAAAAAATTGAGAAGTGATTTTCTTTTATAAATTTTAATATCTAACGTTTCACGTTTTTACTATATGTAATTATTAAACATTATTAAACGAAGAAACGATGTTAGATTTCAAGTAAAATTAACTCAGACTTACACTTTCTTTATTGATAGATTTGTAATTGATAAATTAGGTATTTCGTTAACTAATTTTTCGTAATAATATCCAGTGAAAGAACCAAATGTTTCTCGAATCCCTCATAAATACTTAAAAAAACAAAATGTATCGAAAGTACATCTGAAACTTTTACAAGTACTATAACAAGTACTTATAACTATTTAAATAAGATATGTTAAATAAAATAAATATATAACATATATTTTAAGTCAATATGCTAATATTATATTTAGTACTGTATTTAAATAAAATCAAGAAGTGAAACACGGTTCTAATCTGATAAACATATTTATTCTAACATATTTTAAGTAAATATACTAAAATAATATAATATATAACATACATTTTAAGTCAATATACTAATATTATATTTAGTACTGTATTTAAATAAAATCAAGAAGTGAAACACGGTTCTAATCTGATAAACATATTTGTTCTATACCTACTGCATATGAGAAATAAGAAATGATTAATTTTCATACAAAATAATATTTATTCGATTATGTAATTTGTTCTCGACAAAGAATAGAAATAATTAGACGTAATGTTTGTGGGGTAGTAATAACGTTAATGGCTTTCTGTTTAGTTTATAACTTTAATAAGCTTATAATAATGCGCTCGAGCGAACTTTTAGAGCCTGATTACTACTTTTAAGAGATTCAATCTACTCGAACGTCAAAGTACACACAACTACAAGCACGTGTGTATCAAAATTTGAAACCAGCATTATAATCTGTGAACATTGTCCTGTATTTTTTACATTTTTTTTTTTCGAAAATTGAGAACGTAACTGCTCTTTTCTATCGTGTTTAAAATTAATTAACTTCAAGTCGAGTTGATGAATCTCGAGAACGAAATACTACAAGTCAAAAAGTTTTATTCTATATTTCTCTCCTACTTTTTTTTTTTCTTTCTTTTCTGTGAAGGATCATCCCCTACGTGTTATTCCACCCTGTATATCTTTTTTCAATACTTTTTGTCAGGAGGAAACCCGATAAACCGAGAAAGAGTGTCTAGAATTGATTTACTATCATTATATATATTAAAAAGTTATCAAAACTATTTGTATATCATTTATTTATATTAAAGTTTATATGATCTCGCAGCGAGTGTAATTAAAAAAATACTCCATTCTATGTTGTAAAATACTTAATTAAACTATAATACTTTATATTAAAATACTCAAGTTAAAAAAATACTTAATTTTATATTGTATCTTACTCTTTGTGACTATCATTGCATTATTCCTTGAAATTTATAGTATAAGTATAGTATATACTGTTCGAAAATTTCTTTAATCGGACAGTCGTGCCACTCTATTATTTCAGATAATACAGCTGAGGCTTTATAATATCATACGCGCATAGATACAAAAGTTTTCAATTTTATCAATTCTGCAAATAAAAAGAAAAATATTGAAACGATTCAGTACAGAACTAATTCCTGAAAATGACAGGTGCGTAATCATGGAAGATCGCAACAATCAACTGTAAAAAAAAAAAAGGAACCACGAAGCACGAAGCTAGGGGTGAAATTCTCTGTCGGATTTAAAGGCATCGAACGAGGTTGCTTAATAAATTCTTAGCGAACGACACCTTATCTAGGCAAGGCTCGTTTCGCAGACCGCGATACGGGAATGTTGAATTGCCATTGCGTCGTGTAAAAATCACTTTGCTATACATATACATTCTTACGCAGCAGCCGCGCCCGTCCAAGCGTGACGGAGCCGAGTATCTTTCGAAACTGACGGTAGAACATAGATTTCCATAATGAAGGCACGAAAAAAAACCGAACGGTTACGTTTCGTGCCACACAATCCCACGTCCATGTGGACGTAACCTTGTGTCGCAGCGTCGTAAAATCACGATCACTTCGTGATTGATAAACAATGGTACTCGCTCGTGCTCGAGTACGCAAGGAAATTTTAACGCTTTCTTCGTGCAGTGTGTCTCGTTGGTTAAATACAGAAAAAAAAAAAAAACTACATGTTTGAGAAACGTGGCCAATTTGAGATTTAATTTTATGGAAACGTTGAAACGATTGATTAGAAGAGTTTCGTGCAGTGGTTTCAGTACGTACGATCTTGCAAGTTTTCATTGACAAAGTTTGAAATGCACGTACGTGTGTACGTGTGTATGTACAAACGTGTGTATATCGCGATCGACAATAATAAATTGAAATGTAATATCCAATAAGTTAAAGTTCATCTTGGGATTGCAGGTGATTTTTATTTAAACGAACTATTTACTTTGTGGTTTGTTATTTGTTCTACTTGGAATAGGCGTTTTGTATAGAATCGAAAATGAAAATTAATTGACAATTAAAAGAAAATTAAGATACTTACAAAACAAGTAGCTGTCAAATAACCTACTCAAAGTATACCGATTCTCGTTCTGAGTTAAAGAGCTTTCAAATGTACAAAATTGAATTACAATATTATTTGTAATAATACGTTCAAGAAAAAAAAAAAGAAAGAAAAAAATTCCGAGCAATTACTAATATTGATTCGTCGACCCACAGGTTTCTGGCTATCTGGTGGCCGCTGAAGTGTCAAATAACAAAGAGGCGGGCTCGCATGATGATCGTGGTGATCTGGTTTATCGCCCTGACGACCACATCGCCGTGGCTGCTTTTCTTCGATCTGGTGGCGATTTACGACGACGATCCGAACCTGAGGCTCTGCCTGGAGGTGTGGCCGCACCCCGAGGACGGCACCCTCTTCTTCCTGATCGGCAATCTAACGTTGTGCTACGTCCTCCCCACGATACTGATCTCACTCTGCTACATTCTGATCTGGATCAAAGTATGGCGACGGCACATCCCGTCCGACACGAAGGACGCCCAGATGGAGAGGATACAGCAGAAGTCGAAGGTGAAGGTGGTGAAGATGCTGGTGGTCGTCGTGATCCTGTTCGTGCTGTCGTGGCTGCCTCTCTACGTGATCTTCACGGTGATCAAACTCGGTGGTGGCGTAGCCGAGAGGGAGGACGAGATCCTGCCGATGGCCACGCCGATCGCCCAATGGCTCGGCGCCAGTAACTCCTGCATCAACCCGATCCTGTACGCTTTCTTCAACAAGAAATACCGTCGTGGCTTCGTCGCGATCCTCAAGAGCGGACGCTGCTGCGGCAAGATCAGGTACTACGAGACGGTGGCCATGATGTCATCGTCGACCAGCATGAGGAAGTCATCGTACTACGTCAACAACAACAACAACAACTCGTCGACCAGGCGAACGTTCCACGGGCCGCCGGTGCACCAGGAGAGCAACGTTTCGTACATATTCAATCACACCGGCGTTTAAATTAGCAAGCACCGCATGGGAGATTTGATGTTCGGGTATTCCGAGGCTGACTGCCCGGAACGGGCTTCATACAGTGAGCCGGTCCGAGATTCTGGGTCACGCGTGATCGTCACGATTGTCACTCGGATCGGAAGCCGCCGATTACGGAGTAATCCAACCATGGAAGCACGTTGTTCACCCGCGTTCATCGTCACCGTCGTCACACACCCTCGTCTCGTCTCTTCTTCCCCTACTCATTTCTGTCTCCGCCTGTCGGTCGCAACTTTCCATCGCGATCGAACATCCATGTTGTCCAATCAGCCAATTGTCAACGCGGGAAACAACGATTTCTCTCGAAATCCGTCGTTTTTTCTTATCGTCCCGCACAACGTGTGCGATCGTAATTTTCTTGGAAACGGCGCGAACGATGTATCTCGCCATTTTTTTTTTTTTTTTATTTTTTCGAACGGATCTCGACGCGCCGTTGTCACGGATCCCTTCTTTGCTTCGGGGTATATCCGGACCGGGCGCGAGACACTCTTTCACATTTACTCGACCGAAGAAGAAGAACTGCGGCGCGTGGATACTCACGTCGAGGTGCTCGGATACTTCGGGGGCTTTCTCCCCCTCCCTTTTTTTTTTTTTTTTTTTTTTTTTTTTTTT